CGAGCGGGCGGGCGGCGCGGTCGGGCAGCAGCCGCGGCGGTCGCGCGGGCCGCGGCGGGGGCGCGGGGCCCCTCGCCGTTCTAAGGAGGAGAGGGCCGAGAGGGGCCGGCGGGCTGGGGGCGCCGCGCTCTCCCCACGGCGCGCAGCCTTTCTGGAAATTAATATTTAAAGTCAGCCAGGACGCAGGGGCAAGGCGGGGGCAGAGGCGAGGCAGGACGTGCACGCTCGCGGGAGAAGCAGAGCCACCGGGAGCGCAGCCGCCGGCGGCCGAGGTGACCCGGACCCGCGCCCCGCCGCGCCCGTCCCCTCCATGTGGTGTCCGCCGCGCCCTCGCCCGCAGCACCATGAACGCGCAGCTGACCATGGAGGCGATTGGCGAGCTGCACGCGGTGAGCCACGAGCCGGTGCCCGCCCCCGCTGACCTGCTGGGCGGCAGCCCCCACGCGCGCGGCTCCGTGGCCCACCGCGGCAGCCACCTGGCTCCCGCGCACCCGCGCTCGCTGGGCATGGCCACCCTGCTGGACGGCGGCGGCGGCGACTACCACCACCACCACCCCCGCGCGCCCGAGCACAGCCTGGCCGGGCCGCTGCACCCCACCATGACCATGGCCTGCGAGACACCCCCAGGTATGAGCATGCCCACCACCTACACCACGCTCACGCCGCTGCAGCCGCTGCCGCCCATCTCCACCGTGTCGGACAAGTTCCCCCACCACCACCACCACCATCACCACCACCACGCCCCGCACCACCACCAGCGCCTGGCGGGCAACGTGAGCGGCAGCTTCACCCTCATGCGCGACGAGCGCGGGCTGGCCTCCATGAACAACCTCTACACCCCCTACCACAAGGACGTGGCCGGCATGGGCCAGAGCCTCTCGCCCCTCTCCGGGTCGGGCCTGGGTGGCATCCACAACTCCCAACAAGGGCTCCCCCACTACGCCCACCCGGGCCCCGCCATGCCCGCCGACAAGATGCTCACCCCCAACGGCTTCGAAGCCCACCACCCGGCCATGCTCGGCCGCCACGGCGAGCAGCACCTCACGCCCACCTCGGCCGGCATGGTGCCCATCAACGGCCTCCCTCCGCACCACCCCCATGCCCACCTCAACGCCCAGGGCCACGGACAGCTCCTGGGCACAGCCCGGGAGCCCAACCCCTCGGTGACCGGCGCGCAAGTCAGCAATGGAAGTAATTCAGGGCAGATGGAAGAGATCAATACCAAAGAGGTGGCGCAACGCATCACCACCGAGCTGAAACGCTACAGCATTCCCCAGGCCATCTTTGCGCAGAGGGTGCTCTGTCGCTCCCAGGGGACCCTCTCGGACCTGCTGCGCAACCCCAAGCCCTGGAGCAAGCTCAAGTCCGGCCGGGAGACCTTCCGGAGGATGTGGAAGTGGCTGCAGGAGCCAGAGTTCCAGCGCATGTCGGCGCTCCGCTTGGCAGGTGAGCTGGCCGGGGAGCTGGGTGCCTGGGCGAGGGGGGACTGGAGAACCCCCGCTCTTCATGGAGAGGGGTCCTTGGGAGGGCTGGCACACCTCCCCTAGGGCTCAGTGCGCTGAACTGTGACAGAGAGGCGCCGGACTCGGCTGCTCCGGGCGCATCTGCTCTGGGACAGCGCAGGAGGGTCGCCCAGCCTGAGGCCACAAGAAGCCTGGAACCTGGCAGGACACCTGTCCGGGCGAGGGTTTTCGGCCCAGCACCCGGGGTTTGGGAGGAGGGGGCGCCACACGCCTACCTGAAGCTGCGCTCTGGCGCTCGCCGTGCCCAGGTGGGCACCGGCGCTGAGCCGGAGCGCGGAGCTCCTGTCCGCCTCGGCTGCAGCCGCTCCGCTCGGCGGCTGCGCTCAGCCCGTGGGCGCAGGGCCGGCTGCACGGAACCGCGCTACAGGCGTGCGCAGCGGGGCGAGGTGCGCGGCGGGACCTCTGCCGAGCCCTCTGCGCCTGGGTCTTCCTGGGCTGGAGGGGGGGGGTCGCTGTGCGAGGTCCTTGGGAGAGGGGCTGAGCGCCCCGGGACCTCTCAGCCGAGCCCAGGACCCTTTCGCCGCTCACGTTGTCTTCTGAAGGTCCGCGCGGGAGGGTGGGGATGAGCCAGTGGCCCCGAGTCTGAGCGGGGTCTCCTGCGCCGGACCTGCACCGGCTTTCCCAGGGAGCCGCCCACCTGGCTCCCCTAAAGGCCCACAGGCCGAGACACAGCGAAGCCCAGAGGCGCTGGGGGGTGGGGGGGACCCAAGCGGTGCCGAGACCTCCGAAGAGGGAGACAAGAGAGGAGGTGAAGGCCCGAACTGCCGGCGGCGAGCTGAGATTGACTCCGAGTCCTCGCCCCCAACCCCTCTCCGCAGATGCTCAGGCCTCGGCGGAGAGAAAGTGAAAGCCGGAATGAGGGCTTGTTAATTAACTGATCCTTCTCCACTAATTCATCCCCGGAGGATGAGAGACCGTCAATCCGCTCAGAGCTGGGGGCGCTGAGCTATTTCGAAGTCTAAAGTCAAAGCAAGGCCGCGGGCCCTCCCCTCCGCGTGCCCGCCCCTGAGCGTGGGACAGGCGGGTCCCAGGACTCCAGCGGCACCCGGAGCCCCTGCCCGGCGCTGGAGCCCTGCTCTGTCCACGGCTGCCCTCGGCTACCGGGAAGCGGGTAGAAGTGGACGGTGCCCCGCGGACCCGGTCGCCGCGTCCGCTCTTCAGCCCTGTGCGCCTGCGCCGCGCGCGCTCGGCTGCTGGAGGACCAAGACCGCGGGCACAGGGACCGCCTCTGAGCCAGCCCAGGTAGGCCGAGAGTAGTGTGGGGCCTCCTCTCACCCCGAAGCCTGCGAGCGGTGGGGAAGGGGACTGAGATGGAGAGGAAGGGAACCCCGCGGGAAAGTGCATAACCCTGCCGCCCGCCCGGAGGCACTCACTCCAGACTTCGGTGACTGCATTGCACTGCCTAGGGCCATCTGGAAGGACGGAGGACAAGTTCCCTTCCAGGCTCGGGCCTGGCCCTCCGACCTCGGGACCAGAGAGGCGCGGGCTTGGTGCCCGACAGGTGCTCAGGGGACCCGGGAGATCACGGGGCGCCTGCCTGTACAACTAGCAGCCTGTGGCGGTGCCCTACCTTTTCCTAGAAAAGGTGGAAAGTGAGAGGCTGGAGAAGGGCTTCTTCCCCCCAAACCCAGGGGTGTCTTACAGCCCAGAGGGAGCGGTGCCGGGTCATTAATTTAGAGGGGTGGGATGACGCCAGTGCATCAGCAACAGTCTGGTGCCGCAGATCCTCACGGCCGCATCCTGGTTCTAAGACACTGAATAACAAGGAGCCTTGTTTTAACATTTTTTCTTGTTTGCTTTCTTGCTTTCTTCCAAGCGAGGTCACTTTCTAAAGACTCAAAAGGTGTCTAGCAGGTGCCTGGCTTCGGGACTCTGGCTGAGGATGCTGGCAGCCCCGCTCCCTTGCACAGAGCCCGGCCTCATGCATGGTCCTTGCTCCCAGGTCCCGGGCTCCAGACCCCTCTGCATGTATGGGCGTTCGGAGAAGCGCCTTCCGGTCACCAAGTTACAGCACAGATGGAAGACGGGCGACAGGGGAGGGAGTTCTCACCAAATTAACCACCTTTAAACCGTCATGTGTTCCTTCCCTCCTGGCAATGCTTGCTGCACCCGAGTGGCACTGTGGCTCCCAGTGGTTTGGGGACGAGGATGGGGATACAGGCCTGGGGGAGGTGAGGAATCCTCCCACACAGACTCAGTCCCAGTGTCTGCTCCCTCCGTGGGAGAAAGGTGGGGCTGTCCCCGGAGGTGCCCATGAGAAAGTCTGGTGCAGCCCAACCTGGGCAGTGTTTGCCATGGATGGCCTTGGGCGAGATTGGTTGATAACAGCCCCACACAGGCCCATTTGCTTTTTGTTAATTATTCACCCCGGCCAGACCTTTCGGCTGTCCCCTGGCCTCTTTGGGCCGAGGGAGCCAGGCCCGGGGCAAGTACGAGGCCTAGGAGCTGCATTTGCTTGGTCCCTGGAGAGAAGCCAGCCCAGGCGTGGGGACGCGGGAGTTGGCAGCTCCAGGCGGGCGCAGGGTGGGAGTAGAGGCCGAGCCGCATCTGGGCTGCACAGCTGCTCTAACAAAGGGCCGGCGGGGCTCGACCATCCGTGTCTTTGGGGCCTGGGGCGAGGCCTGGACCCGCCTCCGCCCATCCTGTGAAGTTCCAGCGCCTGCCCAGGGCAGTGCCCTGGGGACCCTCAGGAACTCGTGGGACCCGGCCAGGGTCTGTGTGCGGCCCAGTCTCCGAGCTTGAGGAGCCCTCGTTCCTGTGCGCAGTGCCTGCTAGGGAGCTCAGATGAGAGGGAGTGCAGCAGGTTCGAGAGCACAGGCGGTGGCGGTGGCGGAGCTCTGAGCTGCCAAACCCCATGCGACTGGACTTGGCGGCTATTGTTCGGTGACCTTGGTGTCCCTGCAGTGAGCATGCCCACAGAGGTGAACCCCACGCCCTTCAGGAGCGCCTCAGAAGTGTGCAAAGAGTGGGCCCAGGGGCCAGAGCTGCCCCCGGTGCCCACCCCCAGCCCCACGGGGCACCACAGCCAGGCAGCTGACCCCTGCGGTGCACGGAGTCAGCAGTAGCTCAGCTGTGTTGCAGCAGCGAAGCCCCCGAAGTCCAAGGCCTGTGTTTTTATCCTCGAGCTTTGAGCCCTCCGTGATGGCTGCACCCTACTCCCTGCTTTTGCGGCTCTGCTTCCTCTAAGCTGGCCTCCCCTCTGCGGAGGCCGTGCGCGCCCCCTGTGGGCCGGCGGGGTGGCGCCCGGCACCTCAGCTGTCCAGCTCAGCAGGGGTGGGACGCGAGATGCCTTTATTTTGAGAAAGGGAGCTGGGGTCACTGTTTTGATGGGAAGAGGGCGCGAAGGAGGAAGAGAGGGCTTCCTGTGCCTCTCCTGAGGTCCCCAACAATGCTGGGGTTACCCAGCTAATGGAGACATTTTCATGCCCCCAGCCCTAACCTCTCCAGGCGAGGTGCACGCGTGGGTTTTCTGTCTGAATGATGCTCTTGCTGGTGTGTTTTTATCTAAGAAAAGCAGGGTCGGCGCGGAGAAGGTGACAGGCGGTCACAGTTCAGAGATGGGGCCGGGGCGCAGCGGATCAGTGGCTCCTTTGTTTCCTTGTTTCCTCTCCCAGCAAAATGACCCGAGGCAGGAGGGAGGAGGCCGGGCCGAGCAGAAGTCTTTGTTTGCTGCCGGGGTGGATGGAGCGGGCACGCCATCAGGACCCCGGACAAGACCCCAGACAGGACCCCGGATAGGACCCCGCCGCCTGTCTCCGTGCCGCGGCCCGGGAGCTTTTGAAAACTTGCAGTGAGAAATCGGAAATCCGTGGCTGATATTCCGGAGTTTATGAGCGCTCGAGGCCCCGCCAAGGAGAGACACAGGCTGGGCCAGGGCAGCAGGCAGGTGAACCCACCCGCGGCCATCCGGCGGCAGATCTTTCCTGCGCGGCAGATCTTTCCTGCGCGGCTGCAGCTCCGAATGCGCGTCCCTGTGGGTGTGACAGGGCTGGATCATTACGCTAAAACGCTCAATTCCGTCCCTTTGATCTGTGCTGGGGAAAATCTATAGTCATCTCTAATATACGAGGTCTTTAAGGAGGTGGGTACACGAGCTGCTTGATGTCATCATTTCCGCATCCTCGACAAAGCCAGCTCATCAAATAGAGGCTGCTCCCGAAGTTCTCAGGAGGGACAGTTCTTTTAAAATATGAGTAAAATGGATTCCTGATTTTCTTGTTAAAAGAAAGAAAAAATTCTCAAGGCTGATTGGGATTTGCAGTTCAAAAGAGATTCCCCGGTGTCAGTCGCTGGCCTCAGTAGAAACTGGTCCTTGCAGGCCCTGCTCCCCTGAACGCTCCCACGCTGGAATATTTAAGCACATACTTCAAGGCGGCTCAGCCTGGAGGCTCGCATGAGAAGACTGGTTTCATTTCTCTGCCCATCAGCACAGAGCGGGGTTTCTGCACTGTGGTCAACTGAAATGGCCCCCAACCCAGGCTGGCAACCGAGGGAGGAGCTTGTGGAAGCCATGGCTGTCAGAGGGTCCATTTCTTATGCTGCAGGAAAACATACAACAGATACTTGCTAAATACGGTTCTTGGCATGTCTCTATTTAAGTGAGACAAGCACCTTTAGAAGAAAGCACATTGTTTCCAATGAGAAATACCAGCCTCACTCAATAAAAAGGAAAAATATATTTCTAATGTGAATGAAATTAATGTACAATCATAAATCTGTTTCAGTAGGTTTTTATTCTAGTGCAAGCGTGTTATCACTATGGTACTTGTGCTAAATCTTAATTTCCTCTGAGATGACAGAGTGTGGGAGGTGACTAGGCCCATCGCAGGACAAACTGACAGTTTTGACGGAAATACACAAATTATTTGTCATAAAGTCTTGCTATGGAGTCATCTGTAAATCTTTCTCCCCAAAGATCTTACA